GTGCACCTATAGTTGGGAATAAGACCTTTGGGCAAAATAGCGACAGATGTTTTTCAAAAATCCGATACAGATAAGAGAAGAAAAGAACGAAAACTTTCTTCGCCCGCAAATCACTTTCAATAGTGTTCATTATCTACTTGCCTCTTGTGGCAGAGAGTTCCAGGGGCTTGAGTAGCCACCGAAAAGTCTCTGTCTTTCACGTAACTCTTAGGATAGAGTGAAAAATCCTCTCCTAAATATATTAACATCTGGGTTTAATCCCTGCCTCTGTCAGTTAATGATCTGGAGGGACCAAGGAAGGAAGAAAATAATTGATCATTTTAACAAAGGTTGGGTTTTTTTTCCCCCTCCCCATTGTAGAGGATTTCCTCTGTTTTGAAGCATCAAAGAGCAATCTGCCTATGGGAGTTGTGTTTTTTTTTTTTTCCTTTAAAGAAGATAAATCAATGCTATATAATCTTAGCTGGAAATGCTCTCCATTTCTAAGTGCATGTCTAACTACTGTGCCAATAAAAGCTGATTTACAAAATTCACTTTACCCAGCTGGCATGGAAACAACAGAATGATGCTACAGATACGTGCGAGCGGAGGAGAAGAAGGAACAGGGGAGTGACAGCCTGAGACGGGCGTGTGGGAAAGCACCTGTTGCGGCCTTTCCCTTAAAACAAGGGACTCCTGAACGTTGCTGGTGCTTGTTCCCTCTTTTCTCATTTGTTCCCCCCTGCAAAAGAGGCTTCCGTTTTGCTGCCTCATTCTCGGGCCACTGTTAGGTGCCTTTTCCTGTTTTTGTGTGTGTGGTGGGTTTTTTGGGAAGAATAGAATAGAATAGAATAGAATAGAATAGAATAGAATAGAATAGGTGGAGTGGAGTGGAGTGGAGTGGAGTGGAATAGAGTAGAGTAGAGTAGAGTAGAATAGGGTAGAATATAGAGAATGGAATAGAATTCTTTATTGGCCAAGTGTGATTGGACACACAAGGAATTTGTCTTCAGTACATATGCTCTCAGTGTACATAAAGAAAAAATAAAATATATTCATCAAGAATCATAAGGTACAACATTTAATGATAGTCATAGGGTACAAATAAGCAATCAAATCATACTAGGAAACAAGTCAATATAAATCGAAAGGATACAAGCAACAAAGTTATAGCCGTGCAGTCAGAAGTGGGAGGAGATGGGTGATAGGAACGATGAGAAGACTAATAGTAATAGTAATGCAGACTTAGTGAATAGTTTGACAGTGTTGAGGGAGTCATTTGTTTAGCAGAGTTAAAGAAGAAGAATAAATGAAGAAGAAGAAGATAATAAAAGAAAATGGAACATGTCACTTAGGGAAATACAGTGCATTTCATTCACCCGTAGAGAAGTTTCTCGTTGCACGTTTATATTCACAGGTACCCAAACGACACCAGTAATCTCTTATTATTCACTTCTAAAAAATTAGGTTCCTCTTACGTGATGTAATGCAGAACCTTCCAGTAAAAATTTGGCTAGAGGGTGGTATGGAAAGAATTTTCAAGGCTTTTGCGACACTCCAGCAATTGACCTGTGCAATTTTATTTTATTTTTTTACTGAGGGGTGCTGTATGAAAAAGTTGCGGGAAGGAAATCAGCCTGCCCACCTTAGGTCTACACAAGAGATACTTTTCTCTTCTTCTGAGTTCATGGCCTGGGAATTTTCCATTTTGAAAAAGCTAGAATTTCCTAGTTTGGCTCCAGAGAGGCTACCTATGGACTGTTTTTTAACAAATTAAGAGTGCTAGAAGCTGAGTCTCATCAGGGTGGATTCATTTAGCTTGCCAGTTAATTTCCTACAATAGCCACAAAACTCATCTGCCAGTACTAAATTGTCTCCCCCCCTCCCCCCCAATCATCTCTATTATTTGATCACAATACAGATTAGTTCAGTGGTAGATTGCCTCTGAAGATGGAAGTTCTGAATTTATTACGATCGCCTTAATCAGATCCAGTCATCTCTTCCTCTCGGGATTTGAAATGCTTTGGATAGTTGTTTAAGAGGTAGGTAGAAAGTATTGGAAATAACACATTTTGGCTTATCTACACAGTGTTGCAATAAAAAGTGCAAATCTTACCAGCCGGTAGCCCTGACCTCTTGTCACGCCAGTAAATCCCACCGTTCCATCTGTGATGTGAAGGATCTTTTTTTTGGGTTGTTGTCTTTCCTGATCGGTTACCATGTTTTTGAAGTGCGATATTTCGAGAAAAGGAGAGGAGGTGTTTTTTTCACTGCCAAGTGTTAATTTGCATGATCTCTACTCTCACTGTTTCTCTCTTAGCAGAAAGCTGTCACCATACAATACACTTAACATTACACAATACCATTTTAAAGAGCCAGCAGGTTACATATGCAATTATCTATATAAATGATTTGATGTATTTAAGAGATATAAAAACATATCCTCCCTGCTTTAGCACTTGCAATCATGTTGTTAGTTGCAAAGTCGTGTCTGACCCATCGCAACCCCATGGACAATGTTCCTCCAGGCCTTCCTGTCCTCTACCATCCTCCAGAGTCCATTTAAGCTCACGCCGACTGCTTCGGTGACTCCATCCAGCCTCCTCGTTCTCTGCCGTCCCCTTCTTCTTTTGCCCTCCATCGTTCCCAGCATTCGGCTCTTCTCCAGGGAGTCCTTCCTTCTCATTGGGTGGCCAAAGGATTTGAGTTTCCTCTTCAGGATCTGGCCTTCTCAAGAGCAGTCAGGGTTGATCTCCTCTAGGACTGACCGGTTGGATCGCCTTGAAGTCCAAGGGACTCGCAGGAGTCTTCTCCAGCACCAGAGTTCAAAGGCCTCCATTCTTTGGCACTCAGCCTTCCTTATGGTCCAGCTTTCACAGCCATCCATTGCAACTGGGAAAATCGTAGCCTTGACTATACGCTCTTTTGTTGGCAGGGTGATGTCTTTGCTTTTTAGTAAGCTATCTAGATTTGCCATGGCTTTCCTCCCCAGGAGCAAGCGTCTTTTAATTCCTTGGCTGCAGTCCCCATCTGCGGTGATCTTGGAGCCCATGAAAATAAAATCTGTCATACTCCTAGTCGAAAACGCCCTTCTCTATCCCAGCCCTATTTCTTTTGGTTGCCATCTTCTTTCATTTAAAAAAAACCGTCTGAATATACAGTCCCCCCCCCCAAATTTATTTCATATTTGGACTCTTAAAAAGTTTAGATTTAAATGTCAGTTCCCCAACCCATCTAGCAATTTCGGTTTGCGTTTTTAAAGTTGCCCCATGTGTTAATGTAAACGGACTCTTCGTATGCAGCTTTCTGCCCCTCTTTTCCTCCCCCCTCCTGACTCTGAAGAAATGATGGGATTCTTTGTTTGCATGCTTCTCAGCTTCATTCTCGCTGAGCTGAGAAGTATGCAAGACTCACATGTTTGGGTGAGCCTTGTAAAAATATTATTCAGCGTGATTTGCGCGGCCATAAACCCAGAGGAAGGAAGAGGGAGGCTGCGGGTGTTCACGAGAGGTCCTCTGGGCGAGCAGAAGTGAATAAGATCCCTGGTAAAGTTGAACCCTGAAAGTTTAGGTGAAGGAGTCCAGGGGAGGCACAAAGGGGCAGAAGAAAGGCAAGAGACAGATGAAGTACTTCGATCAAATACCAGCCCTGGTACTGTGCAAATACCAGCCCTGGTACCGGTGGCAAACCGCGGACGATTTCACCACTGGTCTGATGCCTCTGATTTTTCTACCAAACGGATGGCTTGTGGGAGAATTTCAATCCAGCAGGCCCTGTAGATTATATCTGGGCGGGGATGCACGCTGTTGGGCAACCCCTGCGTATGCTACCCGGTGACATTACAAAATCCTTTTCCCTAGAAGGAACCAAAACATGTTTCTGCTTGAATGTTAAGATTCAGCCTCATCAGGGATGGCAAATTGCTGACTCACAGGCACCCTGAAACTACGCTCCGGCTCTTGTCTATCCAGCCTCAGTTCTGCCAGGATGAGGTTGGAGTCAGGGTGCCATTTAGATGACTCGCCTGGCCAAAAGAGCAGGCGTTAGAAGTTTGAAACCGGCCAAACGCAGCAAGAAAAATGCCTTTGCCCCGGAGGGACGTCAGTCTCGCTGGCATTGGAAGAGGGATGATCTGAAGAGCGAGCATCCTTCTCACTTACCCATCCCCCACCCCACCCCCGCGACTTCTTCCTTAGGATCTGACAGAGGATCTCCTGACATTCGCATCCAGACATACCAATCAGCAGGTTTCTTAGTTTAGGGTAAATTGTGGGTATGGCTGAAAAAGAGGAACCGAGCAGGGCTACCAGATTCTGCCACGGCTTTGTTCCCTACGCCATCCACCTGGTAAACTCGCGAGATTCGTTTTTCTCGCCGTTGTCCATGTATACATCTGAACTAGACTGTGTTGTTTGTGTCATATAATATAGGCGGGTACATACATAATGTTGTATTTATTTATTTTGTCATGTTTATGTAGTGTATATTGGAGGTGGTGACCCTTTGAGAACTGTATGCAACGAAATTTCATTTCAATGTATGCCGATTAGTGTACATTCAAAATGACAATACAATTATTATTCTATTCTATTCTATTCTATTCTATTCTATTCTATTCTATTCTATTCTATTCTATTCTATTCTATTCTATTCTATTCCATCCATTCCATTCCATTCCATTCTATTCTATTCCGTATTTTCTATACTATACTATTCTATTCTATTCTATTCTATTCTATTCTATTCTATTCTATTCTATTCTATTCTATTCTATTCTATTCTATTCTATTCTATTCCATTCCATTCCATTCCATTCCATTCCATTCCATTCATTTCCTTATTCTATTCTATTCTATTCCATTCCATTCCATTCCATTCCGTTCTCTGGAAGGCCCGTTTTATCCTCCACAGAGTGTTTTTCTGTTAACATCTAAACAACAAACATTGTCAGGCTCTCCCATTAGCCAGGAGGCATTAGAGACTCAAGGTGGCTAAAGGTGATCATTCGGTTTCCTCTTTAGGATACAAAACCGGAGCAAAAGCTCACCAGACGAGCCGCTTACGTTCTTCTAAGTTGAAGAAGGAAGTGTTGAGCAACGGAGCCAGCCTCGTCCTACAGAAGGGCAAGATCCTGCTACAAAAGACAGGCAAATGACAGGAACAAGGTAGGACTTTCTGATTGACTTCAGGAAATTGCCTTGTAATTTTGTGTTAAATTATTTTGGCGGGAGAAAATGCTCCAAAGTCTGAAACGAGCCCGGCCACCTCTCTCTGAGATGGGACAGTGCTGACGGTTGCCCTTGGCGGTAGAAAAAGTACTGGGCAAAGATTAAAAAAAATGGCTAGAGGAAATGGTAAAACAACAAACAGAAATAAAGCCAGAGTTATTTCTATTAGGCATACTAACAGGGAAATATAATAAAAAAAAAATTCAGTATTTCATGCTACATGTAATAACAGCGGCTAGAATTATGTATGTACAAAATTGAATTAGAACTGCAGAAAAAACAATTCCTACCAACCTGCCTTCCATGGAGGACCTGTGTACTGCACGAGTCAAAAAGAGGGCTGGGAAAATATCTACAGACCCCTCGCATCCTGGACATAAATTGTTTCAACTCCTGTCCTCAAAACGACGCTATAGAGCACTGCACACCAGAACAACTAGACACAAGGAGAGTTTTTTCCCCCACGTCCTCACTCTGCTAAACAAATAATTCCCTCAACACTGTCAAACTATTCACTAAGTCTGTACTACTATTAATCTTCTCATCGTTCCCATCACCCATCTCCTCCCACTTATAACTGTATGACTGTAACCTTGTTGCTGGTATTCTTAAGATTTATATTGACTGTTTCCTAATATGATTCGATTGCTTATTTGTTCCCTATGATTTTCATTAAGTGTTGTACCTTATGATTCTTGATGAACGTATCTTTTCTCTTATGTACGCCGAGAGCATATGCACCAAGACAAATTCCTTGTGTGTCCAATCACACTTGACCAATAAAGAATTATATTCTATTCTATTTTTTAAAAAGAGAAAACATTGGAAAAATGGAAATATACCCACAGAGGAAACGGTAATAAAGAAAATATTAGATAGCGCCAAAATGGACAGGTTGACGATGGAAATTAAAGACAAAGGAGAAACAGAATACTATTCAATCTATAATTGGTTAGATAATAGATGCAAAGATTAGAAAATCAATGATGAAAGAAGGTCAATGAACCAGAAATAAATACAAATATAATGATAGATAGGAGAATACGTATTGTAAACAAGATTATGGCAAGTGTACAAAAGCGTAAATTAAAATACATAGAATGATAAATATATAGAGATCTACATTAGAATCATGGAAACAATAGATATAAACATGATACTGTATTAATAAGAGTTAAATGGTTGTAACTAGGAGGTATAATAGTATGTCTATTGTAAAAAATTGCTGATATAACCAGTATAGCACTGCTGGAAAGTTGAAACTGTGATACAAAATGAAGCAAAATGTACAATAAAAATATTACAAAAAGAAAGAAAGGAAGAAGGAAGGAAGGAAGAAAGAAAGAAAGAAAGGAAGGAAGGAAGGAAGGAAGGAAGGAAGGAAGGAAGGAAGAGAAAGAAAGAAAGAAAGAAAGAAAGAAAGAAAGAAAGAAAGAAAGAAAGAAAGAAAGAAAGAAAGAAAAAAGATCCCCCCATAGTAGATCCTGCTTGCGGGGATGAGGGGGGTGGGTGGAGAGGGGAAGAGTTCTGGTTAAATTATGCAGTTATGCCAGGAGTTTTTGAGTATTTTTTTCTGTGCAGCCAGGTGTTGCATCAAGGTTGAATTTTCTCGGTCACCCAAATAAATTTGGAGCACCTTGTCATTTTTTGTTGCTTGGTGTGATGGATTTGAAACCACTCTGGCCTGGTATGCAAAATAGTTTCCTCATTTCGAAGGCCAAAAAACAGGTTTAGTCCTAACAAGCTATGACATGCAGAGAGTGTGAATCCGAGTTCAGGAACTTGGCTCGACCGCGATCTGCTGTGCCCGTGGCTTCAATCGCAGGCATCCCCGACAAAGCACAAAGCTTTGTCAGGGTTTGTTGCAGAAATTAAATCCAGAAAGCACACACAGGCAGACTGATGCAGCAGGATTCATTCACTTCTTTATATATACATATAATACATGAAGCAAATTTACAATACCAACAGCAGAGTCACAGTTTCATTTCAGCTCAGATCAGTAGACAAGTTCACACACATAGCTTCACAGCTCGGAGCTTCACACACACACACACACACACACACACACAGAGGTTTCAGTTTCTCTTTACAGACTCAGAAGCTGCAGACTAAGACACGCCCTGGCTCCAGTCTGTCTCAGCTCCCGATAGGCTGACTTAGTTGCTATGCCTATTCATTGGCTGATCTTGTTACCATGTCTTCCCAGTCATGAATATTCTGACAAGCTTCCCTCTTCAGAATGCAGCCCTGTCCAGCTTCAGGGACGAGGCCTCCCTGGGGCACTAAGCTGTGCCCGTGGCTCAGTCTGCCAGTGGCCCCCTTCTGACTTTGCCCCTCCCCTGCCTTCCTCTTCTGCCTGCAGCTTCCTCCCAAAATGGTCTGCCTGGGGTCTCTTTGGGTTCGCATAGGTCATTGGTGGCTGCCTCCTACAACAGCATTCTTCCAATAGACTTGCACAGCTCCCTCCCTAGAGGAGTGGCTTGACAGTTTAAGGGTATTTTGAGTCTCAACAAGTGCCCAATTCTCTCCTTCACCCCGGTACCTTCATTTCTAGCACCCTCTTCTGACTCTGCTGCAAAATCTCTTCGGAGGAATTGTTGGAAAGGGGTAGTAGTCACCCCCGAGCTTCTTTCCATTCAATGCCAGGCCTCCCCATTCTTTGATGCACCCTGCAGCAGCCACTCCAAGCCCTGCTGTGCTCACACCATGCCACACTGCACCGGCCCCTCACACACCCGGTGGCAGCCTGGGACTTGCAGCTTCTTGCCGGCTTCCCCATCGACTTTGTTGTTGGAAGCCGTCAGGAAATGGCAATGCCGCAGGGAGTGCCGGAATTCCTGTGGCTAACTGATGGGATTGTGTGAGGTCGCATTTTACGACTGCATCTCGCTGAACGACAGAAATCCTGATCCCCATTACCATTGTTAAGCTGGTAATGGGGTCTTACCAGTTTAATAGCTTATTATTAGGTGTCTTAATGAATAGCTCTTCCAATTCTCTCTTCTCCACTGCAGTTTGAGGAGTGATCGTTTTGTTTTTGCTTTTTTATGTCAACTTCTCAACTGTTTTTAAAAAAGTTTTTTTATTGAACTTTTTTCACCTTTAAAAACAGAAAATACAGAAGAAAAAAAACAAGACAAAACAAGACAAACATAACAATATATCATTATATTGTACCTGTAATTTGTTCTTCTACTTTTCCCTTCTATCCTTAATAACAACTATAACAACTATTTTAACCGTGCTACTTACAAATATTTACATTATACTTACACAATCTGTAATTTAATTTTGACAGTCATGAATAGCTTCAATTATTATCTAGTCAATATTTATTTCAAACTTCTCTTTCTTATTTAGGTTTCTGTTTTCTAGCCACTTATACATTCTATTCCATACTTTATAATAGTCCAAATCTTCTCTTTCCTTTATTTCCATAGTCATTTTGTCATTTCTGCGCATTCAAGTATTTTTCGGATCACTATTTCTTCTGAAGGTGTGTTACTCTGTTTCCAGTCTTGTGCTATTGCAATCCTGGCTGCCTTTAATATATGTAGTATTATATATTGTGAATTTTTCTCTATTCTCGAGTCTAATAGTCCTAATAAAAACAGCTCTGGTTTAAGTTCTATCTTTCGTTGCGTAATTTCTTCCAATCATCTCTTAATTTTACACCAGTATTTTTTTTATGATTGGCGCACGTCCACCACATATGATAGTATGTTCCTAATTTGTGGTTGCATTTCCAGCACTCGGGAGGTAAATTTGAAAACATTTTGGCCAAACTCGCTGGGGGTAACTTCTCAACTTTAATCCCGCAGGGAAAAAGGAGCGAATGGCTTTGTGAGGACTGCATCTCATCCCCTTTGCCTTCCAGGCCAGCATGTTTCCCCCACCCCACTCCAGGGAGCCACTAGCGTTGGCTATCCTGCAAGCCAGATGTGGGCTGCTGCTGTTTTTGCCATGTTGTCTCTAAGCTGCAGCAAACTGCCTCTTTTCACCTTGCTTTATCTCCTTACCAAATCGCAAGAGCTCCTTCGGGTACAATTTGCACTTGCAAATTCAAAGCCCTTTACACGTACTTACCTAACTTTCCCCTGCACTTCCTTTCCATAATGCCCGCCACATCCACAGGAAGTTTGGCAGGCAACTGATCAAGGAGAGATTCAACCTGGAAATAAGGAGGAATTTTCTGACAGTGAGAACAATCAACCCATGGAGCAGAAGTTGTCTTCGGAAGTGGTGGGAGCTTCATCACTGGAAGCTTTCAAGAAGAAACTGGACTGCCATCTATCAGAAATGATGTAGGGTGAACTCCAAATTTTTTTTACTACCAGTTCTGTGGGCGTGGCTTGGTGGACATGGTGTGGCTTGGTGGGCGTGGCAGGAGAAGGATACTGCAAAATCTCCATTCCCACCCCGCTCCAGGAGGAAGGATGCTGCAAAATCCTCATTCCTTCCCCACTCCTGGGGGAAGGACATTGCAAAAACTCCATTCCCACCCCACTCGGGGGCCAGCCAGAGGTGGTATTTGCCAGTTCTCCAAACTGCTCAAAATTTCCGCTACCGGTTCTCCAGAACCTGTCAGAACTTGCTGGATTTCACCCCTGATGTAGGGTCTCCTGCTTGGGTGGCTGGTTGGACGAGGTGACCTACAAGGTCCCTTCCGAATCTGAGAAGGCGAGAGGGCTACTACAGGCAAACCTGTCGACCTTCAGTCTTCTAAGGATTGAAGGAGAAGCCAGAGGACTGGCTCTCCTAGCTCTGATCCTAAGGAGTTGAGGAGAGCGTTTAGCCACGAAGAGCCCTCTGCAAGGAATTAAGGGAGTTGAGTTCAGTCCCCGATTGCTTGAGGAACTCTATATCCCTGGGATGCCCTGCAGAAATCAAACGGACTCCATATATCCGTGTGTGATCCCCTCCAGGATCCCTGCTAAATTATAGAACAAGAGAAGAGAAAAGGAGAGGAGAGGAGAGGAGAGGAGAGGAGAGGAGAAGAGAAGAGAAGAGAAGAGAAGAGAAGAGAGGAGAAGAGAAGAGAAGAGAAGAGAAGAGAAGAGAAGAGAAGAGAAGAGAAGAGAAGAGAAGAGAAGAGAAGAGAAGAGAAGAGAAGAGAAGAGAGAGGAGAGGAGAGGAGAGGAGAGGAGAGGAGAGGAGAGGAGAGGAGAGGAGAGGAGAGGAGAGGAGAGGAGAAGAGAATTTTTTATTGGCCAAGTGTGATTGGACACGCAAGGAATTTGTCTTGGTGCATACCTGTTTCCATGTGTTTCCTTCTGCTTTTTCTTCTACACCTCCTTCCCCCCACCCCCTTCCCGCTTGCTTCTCACCCACCCCGGGGACCTGTCAGGGACCGGTTGCTCTTCTCAAACA